TACAGCATTCAATATATAGATATGTTCTTTACAGGCTTTTAAGCTCTGGAAAAAAATCCAGTAATCTGATTTAATCATTTAAGTTTTTTAACTAATTTCATTTATTTAAAAAAAAAATAATATGATGCACAGCCAAAGAAATAGTTAATTATTTTTTTTAATTTTTTTTACAAAACAGACATGTGGAAGTGGGGAAAAGTGCTTACAGGCTACCTGCCATAATAAATACAAGAATTTAGAGGCCTTGTCCCCCATCCAGAACACAAGAATGTATTTCTCAAATTTAAGTTACAATTTCAGACTTTTCCCCCGGTTTCAGACCTGTACACAGCTCCTATCTGTTAGTATACAACACTCCCGCTCCCTCGTCACAGCTGAGGCATATACGGCACACATGTATGAAGAAATCAATGAAACACAGACACTTTCATCTCCCACATAAGGTCAGGACACTGCTTAAATAAAAATACATTACATGTACATTTTCTTTACATGTAGCCATCTTTACAATTTACTCAAGTGCTCTTTTTAGTCTCAGTCTTCCTCTTATGCACAAAATACTGTTGTTTGTCATTGATAATCCCTTCTTGATCCTCAAGTTTAATATTTTCTTTACATTTTTTGTAGAAAATGTTCAGGGCACTGTTTTTGATTTGATTTGACACTAAGATCAGTGTCATTTGTAGGCTATGATTGCAGGTAAACTGCAATGGCGGGCGTTATTGAAATTCATTTTGGAAAAGAATAAATATTAGGGAAGATATAAAAGGTTTTGACATCTTTTTAAACTACTGAAATTATTATTTAACATTTTACCTGGATTTAAAAGGAAACAATTTCACTTTTCTAAAACGATCTGCTTTCAAAACAAGATGTCGTGAAATAATTGCAAAAACAATTTGCAGTTATGTTTGATGGACTATAAGTCCTTTAAGGAATTGAAGTACAATTATTTTTTAAATTGAAATATGTGGACAAATCAAGCCTGCTGGCTTTTTAGGCCCAAGAAAACACATATGCTTTGCATACTGGTGTAAGAACAAGAACGCAAGAAAAAGGGAACTGAACTGTAGCTAAAATTAGTTTCACTGGCTTAGTACAGATTCCATGTTCAATCGTGGTGTGTTTCGGCAAGGAAAAAAAGATAAAAATTTGTCTTACCACCTGGTCCTATGCCATTTATTCCCCATCCACATTTCTTGTGCTTTTGCCTTTTTCAATCTAAATGTTTAACACTGATGCTGGTAACTTTACATTCCTTTTGAGTCTCCAAACGCTGGACACGAGTCAGAAGAGACAATCAGAAGAGAGGACGCACCAAGAGCGCTAGTCTTTTACAGTGTGTGCTCGAGTCTTTTTTTTTTGTCCAAAAGTCCAGATCCTGGTCTTGGTGACAAAGCCCTAAATTCACAGGTCACGTATGCGGTTTTCCTTAACCGAGAGTGACTAGATGCAGATGACTTCAATCCTGTCCAATGAAACCAGAGAGGAAACAGTCTCTCTCTTTGCGAGTTCAGAGGTCAAGAGCGAGAGGGAGCGTGACCCTGTCCTTCAGCCAGATCCGACCTCTGAGGTTTGGAGCAGGAGGTCAGGGTGAAGGGGTCAGGGGTCAGTGCGAGGCGCGGGTGTTAGCGGCTGAGAGGGAGCTGCGGCAACGTCATGGCCTGATGAGGGAGGCTCTGTGTAGTGAGCACTGAGAATGGATGGCCTGTGAAACCAAAACAAAATAAACACAACATAATATTAATCTCTAGCTATATTCATTCATCTCTACATATTTTTAGATCGGAGAACATAAGTAAAAATGCCACCAGTTTGGTTTGTTTGTTTATCACTACTGGTCACTACTTTAAAGCTACTTTTAAAGCTGCATTTTCAGTCTTCAGTGTCACATGACCCTTCAGAATATGCTGATTTGCTGCACAAGAAATATTTGATCAATGTTCTCATTTTAGTTGTGCTGCTTAATATTTTTGTGGAAACCGTGATTCCGTGATCTTTTGAAGAATAAAAAAAGTTTAAAGGAACAGCATTCATTTGAAACAGAAATCTTCTGTAAGATTATAAATGTCTTTATGTCACTTGATCAATTGAATACATCCTCGCTGCATAAAAGTATAAAAGTATTTTTTGGTATCTTACTTACCCTAAACCTTTGAATGGTAGTAGTTTATCACAGTTTTCACAAAAATATGAAGCAATTCAACTGTTTTTAACATTGATTATAATCAGAAATGTTTCTTGATTATCAAATCAGCATATTATACTGATTTCTGAAGGGTCATGTGACACTGAAGACTGGAGTAATGATGCTGAAAATTCAGCTTTGTCATCACAGGAATAAATTACATTTTAAAATATATTACAATAGAATACTGTATTTCTGATCAAATAAATGCAGCCCTTGGTGAGCATAACAGACTTCTTTCAAAAACATTACAAATGTAATTATTCCAAACTTTTGACCAGAAGTGTCGACTTTATTTGAAGGTGTCCTTGTTACAGTGTAATTATACATGTAAGTACTGAGTAATATTAATTAACTACATGTACTTACTATATGGTTAGGGTAAGGATTTGGTTTGGCTTAGGGTTACTTGCATGTAATTATGCATAAGTACATGTAACAAGTACATGTAACGTGTAACAAGGACACCTTAAAATAAAGTGTTACCTAAAATAAATATATTTTATATATTATTATTATTATAAACATTTTATATTATTATCCATAATTTAAATGAAAAGTGGCATTGAATTAGTTTTCTTTCCCTTTGGCTTTAATGACAGCAGCTCTTGAGGAAACACTCACTTTCGATGTACCCGTGCAGGGCCACCATGCGTGCTCTCTCAGGACTGCCGAAAGGGGAGTAATGCAGCTCGTCGGGCAGCGAGGGGGGCATGCGGGCATGTGGGTGAGCTTGAGGTGGACCGCTGTGCTGTGGAGTGTGCTTTTTATGTCTCGCTCTGCAGTTTTGAAACCAAACCTATTGAAATACAACCAACTGTCAAGAGAAGCCGTCTCTTTTTATTGCATTTGAATGGAAGCATGAAGCACTAAGGGAGCATTAAGAGAGTTCCGTCACCTGTATGACTCGTCTGCTCAGTCCTGTCATGTCTGCCAGCTTCTGCAGGGTCTGAGCGTCAGGGTTGTTGTCCTGTGCAAACTGCGCCTGCATTACCTGTGCATGCAACAAGTCTCACATTAACATGAGCTCATTTACTGAAGGGACATGCATATTTGTAAAGAATTTCTACATTAAAAATAATTAAATATGTTAAAAATAATATCAACAATTGAATTACAAATTATAATTATAAATGAAATTAAAATATTTTTTTTAACTTTAGACAGAGTTTGCATGTGTGTTTTTTGTTGAGTATCATATTTGATTCATCAGGCTTTTTTATGGCTCATGCAATATGATATATTGAGAATATGGAGCTCATACAAAAAAAAAAAAAAAAAGTGCAATTTTGTGCAGGGTTGTTATATACATGGCCAAAAAATGAGATATACAATTCTCATATCTTGTAAATTAGTGAGATATTTATAACAGTATATCAGACTACTTGCATAAAATGCATATGAATATCAGTGTTCACTCTAGATATCCCAAATAATGTCTTTGTAAGATTTTAAATGCTTAGTTTGATTATCAAAGCTCTGTAGTTTCAAAACATATAATGCAATGCAATACAATGATGATTGAGAGATGAACAAATAAATATTCCTCAAATGTCTGATGATCATATTTAATACTCATATTTTAACATGATTTTTCTAAAAAAGTGCTATCTGGATAATCAAGTAAACCTAAGTTGCTTCAGTCCAGTAAGTGTCCGTCTTGAAATACTAACAATATAAATTATTCTTACGTTTACTTGATAAAATCAGGAAAGATTTCAAAGCAAAAAGACTCATGAACCACAACCTGGAGGTCTTATTCTAAAAGGCCTTTTACTTGCTAAGTGTAAACGATCGATCAGATGACAGAAAGCATGTAGTAGACTGTGAACAAGATCATGTTGATCATTTAGAGACCTTAGAAATGTGCATATCAAATATGATACAGTAGGGTTCATATTATAATATTGGTTGCTTGCTGATAGTGCTGTTTCAGATGTGTTTAAAACATTAAATGGAACTGAAATATGAATTCAGATTGGACAAAAGCATAACCACAAAGAGGGTTTGCTTCCTCATTTCAGACACTGTTTGATCATCTTACCTGCAGTTGTTCTGCAGTGAAGGACGTTCGTGCCCTTTTAGCCGGTTTTGGTTGACTGTCCTGTTCTGACGGCACCGCCCCCTCCAGAGTGAGTCCGCTTCCTGCGTAAAAACCCGGGAAAAGTGGTTAAAACCAAAACTTTTCAGATTAAGGAGACTTAAAGTGAAATGCATCTGAAACACACGTACCACTCTCAGCGGCCCGTTTCAGGTTCTCCACCATTGTGTCGTAATGGATCCGACAAAGTACTTTCTCCTCCACCAGCCCGAACTCCTCGCCTGTGGACAGCTGCCGTTTGCAGGAGAAGCAGGCGAAGCAGGCCAGATGGTAGGCATTGCCTCTGGCTCTCCGTACCCAGTCGCTGGCGTAGATCTGCCGGCCACAGCGGGCACACTTTGTACCAAACCTACTGTGAGACAGAGAAGGGCTTGAGAATCAATACTTACTCAATAAACAATAAAACATGTTACGCATGTGCTTAGTATTACAACCCATAAGCTAGCATATAATGATAGACGCATTTGTGCATTTTGCTTCTTGTTCTGAATACGTAACAGAAGTCAGTTTCACAGTGAAACAGGTATTTGCTCTCTCCACAGAAAGCTGTCGCTGGCAGAAGACAGAATACAGATATAGGCTGAACCGTGTCCAAAAGATAACCGCTAAGCGTGTCAGACACGGCTGTAAAACTCTCAGCACAAACACACCACGAGTAATTCTCTGAACCGCAGGTCGACAGGAAATATCTGCTGATAAACTGCTGATAGGATCCATAAACAAAGTACGCAATACATGTAAGATTGTCTATTTTTAAAGCACCTCCACTTTTTCTTTTGTGTAAAGGACAAAGGGTTTGTAATTTATACACATATGTAAATTAATAAAGGCAGGGTGGTGATATATTACCTTGTTTAATATATATGACATAATATTAAACTATATTTTAATAATTAAAAATATATCAAATTAGTTTATTATATATGTATATATATATTACATTGTTAAATATGTTATATAATATATAATATTAAACTATAAAAAAATATATAATTAATATAATAATTATAATTAGCATGTAGTATTATATATATATGTTATATGAAATACTATATAATATTAAACAATATATTTTACTTATATCAATTGAAAAATGTATATAATTATAATTAACATTATAATTATTATATATAATAATTCATTAATATATAATGTCTTTTCAGTTTCATTTACAGGTTAGTATTAATCAAACATTTTCTGCAATAAATTTTACTCTCTCTCTCTCTCTATATATATAAATATATATATAATTACTTTTAAAAATAGAGAATTGTTTGCAATAAATTAACCTGAAACTGCTTACTTTACATACTTAAAATTCTGGATCATTTAAATTTTTTCTTTTAGTGTTGTTTAATCAACTACACTTTTTTTTTGAAATGACAGATTATTTTACTATCTATCTGTTTGTTTGATTATTTATTTATTTATTCTGCAGTTTATTCACTGACATTACTAGAATATCCAAGAGGGTCTAGCTGCAGCCTTGCGCTTGCACTCTCAGACTTGCACTCTCAGACACTTGCACTTCCGCTAGCGACGTCACTTGCAGTCTTTTATTTGTTTTATTTTGTTCTATTTATTGATTACTTTTTGTTTGAATCTCTCAACATTTTACAACAGTAGCCAGGTGGTGAAGACAAGAAAAAAGAAACTAAATTACAATGTCACTTGCAATCGCCACTTGCACTCTCCGATACCTGCGACGTCACTTGCAATCGACACAAATCGTGCGTGTTGCCAATGGAGACAAGAGGCTGTGGTGATTAAACATTAAAACTAATTTAGTATTATAACATACAGGGTCCTGCAAGAAAAAGACAAGACCTGCAAATCCGTGGCTACAGAACAGCAGAATTTGAACGCAATTCACAAAGTCTCTCGTTAAGCGTTTTCCTCCTGTAGAAAAACATAAACACTTAACATGGCTTAATGTATTAAGATGCATTAAGTTCAATTAAAAGATCAAATTCGATATATACTTATTATTTAATGTACTACAAGGCAAACAGATGGCTATGAACACAATGCGCAAACTTGTCCTCCCATACAGCAAAACGCTTAATGTTATATAATAACGGACTATGATGAAAACAATACAGTAGCCTATATGTCTTGTTGTTGACTCAAAGTATATACAGAACAGCAATTATGAACGTGCATTTTGAAATGCATTAAGTGATTTTAAAAGGATCAACTCCGTACAGGCAAGCAGACGAGCCCAGAACGCAATGCATTAAATTGCACGTTAAACATTTTCCTCCCATAGAAAATCATTATAAATAAAACACGTAATGTAGCTTAATGGACAAAGACAATGATATAAAAGAGCTGTAGACAGTTTATTCTATATGGAAAAACGCTTAACGCGAAACTTTTGCGGGTCTTGTCTTTTTCTTGCAGGACCCTGTATGTTACTGTACTAAATTAGTTTTAATCATTAAATCATCACCACAGCTTCTTGTCTCCATTGGCAACACGCACGATTTGTGTCGATTGCAAGTGACGTCGCAGGTAGCGGAGAGTGCAAGTGGCGATTGCAACTGACTTTGTAATTTAGTTTCTTTTTTCTTGTCTTCACCACCTGACTTTACTGTTGTAAAATGTTGAGAGATTCAAACAAAAAGCAATAAAAAATAGAACAAAATAAAAAATAAAGCCTGCAAGTGACGTCGCTAGCGGATGCGCAAGTGTCTGAGAGTGCAAGTCTGAGAGTGCAAGTGCGAGGCTGCAGCCAGACCCTTCTCAGAATATCTGCCATTCACCATTAGTCATGATGTCATTCAGATATTTGCGAATGCGATTGGTTCTCTTTATTGCAATTATTTGCACAATACATTGTGATTGGCCTTTTCTGTTTTTCATCTGTTCTATCTAATTATACAATACACTGCAAAGTTGATGCAGAAATGGAGTTAAGTTGCTGCATGTTATTGATGTTACTGCTGATGTTAATCATCACATTCTCAGCCAACTGTGATTTGTAAACCACATACATATTCCATATTTAATTCAGCCCTGCATTTTCAGCAGCCGTATGGCCGTGTAGTTGCTTATAGCACCTCTTCTGTTATCCTGCTATCAACAGGACTTGATAAACAACCCTGTGGCGATACAAACCAACAGCAAGTACTGCCGTAATGAAGTGTTATTTTGACTGGACGGGGTTGAACATGCAGTTTTTTTTTGTTTTGTTTTTTGACCCAGACATCACATTTGGGTGACCAAAGAGAGTTCCAGTGTTGAGAGGACTAGAAGAGACTAATGTTCTGCAGATGGCCAGGCACGGCCCTTTTTTGGCCTGAATCTGAGACCCCCCCCTCCTACACCTCTGTCATTGGGAGCCCTTGTGTAAACAAAGTGTCACACACAACCTCCTCCGACTGCAAAGAAACACGGGATATCGAGATAGCCATGCATGTTTCCCCCGATGCTACTGAAGAATGATGACACTGGCCCCGAAAGTCCCACAGTGGGGCCCTCGGGGCATTCATCCGCTGGAAATGACATCATAGCCCACCAGGGAGCCCCATGGGGCTCAACAAACCAGGAAACTTGGACCGGCACTTGTGTGTGTGTATAATAATTTGTCTGTGCCAATCAGCACTTGAGCAGGATAAGCCAAGAAGCAAAAACAAACCTGAATCAAAATTTAAAAAAAATATTTACAGTCCACTTATGTGCAAAGTATCGACACATAAAATACACCTCACGTATTAATGCCTGCAAAAAGCATTCAAAGGGCTTTCTGTGTACACTGCACACCATATTCTGACAGCATCATTCCAGACAAAGAATACAACGTTTTGAGTAATGATGCATTTCAGACGTGTGTTTAGAGGAGAAACATTGTGGAACGGAGCCGTAATCTGTCATGGCAGTTCATTTACCGCAAAACCTTTCAGAAAAGCCATAAAGATCTTAAGGGGGTTTTGTTTTTGTTCAGATCTGCCGCACGTCTGATTGTGCGTTGTTGTGCTTATTCTGGATTTATTTCTGTGCTGCAGATCATAACTCGCCGGGAAAAATTCCGGCAGCCGCAAAGCGTTTGCCTCAGCATCGAAGGAATTCACCTTTGGCTGGAAAAGAGAAGCTTGTGGAAGTAGAAATTCGGTAGATTAAATTTGATATACTCTCGGAGTATTATAATCTGGGGGAAATCTCCCTCTCAGAGACTGCTGAGACATATTAGTGGTGTTTGCTACGGCGAGCATCACTATTACTATTGCTCATGGTGGTTTTTCAAAACCCCGAACTGTGAATTTGGTATGTAACTCGTCCCATTCCATTGCTTGTGCAACAGGTATAAATAATACCGCAAATCTTACGACTTTCTGAGGTATGCTTTTCCATTCCTTAGCGTTTGCATTGGTGGACTAAACTGTCCGAGAAACAAGGTAGACATACGTCGGCCATATCTAGAAAGCATAATAGAGACTTGTATCTAGTTTGCAAAAAAAAAAAGAGGAAAACAGTAATTTCATTCATTCGTGCACCTTCTTGTCGTTACAAACTTGTATGAATTTCTTTCTTCTGTTGAACACAAAAGAAGATATTTTGAAAAATGTGTCTAACCAAACAGTTGCTGGTAGCCATTAACTTCCACAGTATTTTTTTCATACTATGAAACTCAGTGGCTACCAGCGACTATTTGGTAATCACATTCTTCAAAATATCTTCTTTTGTGTTCAACAGAAGAAAGAAATTCACACAGGTCCCTTCGAAAAAAACGCATTGAAAAGCCTACTTCCACACTAAATAGTATGTGAAAAAAGTAGTACCTCCAAATTTATAGTATTCGAAAAACAGTACCTGAATAAACTACTAATTCCGTCGAGTTTCTGAAGTGTGCATTTGATGGACTATCCCATGAGGCCATGGGACAGGATTCATGGATGACAATGAAGCGACGCGTCGTGTCGTAGGTCACATGACAGTAACAACACGCCAGATGTCCGAATTTTATTCATGCTAAACATTTATTCTATATAAAACATAATTTTTTAATGTTCACAGCCAAAATATCAAACCAAATGTAGTACCTAGTAGATACTATGAGATTTCAGACAACCTAGCGACCTTAGCACTCATCCACAGAAAAAATATTTTTCGCTTTATTTTTTATTCTCAAACACATCCATACGTTGAAGCCATTTTTCCTCTGTTAACCAGAAAAAAAAAACACATTTCATTTTGCCATTGTAATTTCAGTCACTCATATAATTTCCTGCATTCTCCACCAAGTTATGAGTTACACAAGCTCTGTTTACTTCTGTTTGCATTTAAACACAAGGAGCCCTGTACGCGCATACAGTACGTCATCTCCTCCAAATCTAGCGAACGCAGCTCCGCACAAACCCACTCGGGTTACCGCCGTACTCCATCACCCTCTCCTTATCCTTTGGTTCCTCTGATTAACAGCCTCCTCTGACTTCCTGTGTGGCCTGATGCTCGGTTTCTTTTTAGTGTAGGTACAGTCTCGGCTCTGCCCCCACCCACCCCCCACCCCTCGCATACACAGCAAACCCACTTTGATTTCCTGTAATTACACTCTATTAGAGCAGCTGTCAATCTGGCCCAGATGAGAGACTAACACAAATGAAACATATCTCCTTATGTTTTGTTTTCTTTTTTTTTTGCAAGAAATCAATGGAGATCCTTTTTCTTCCAAGCATATGATGGCCGTCTTCTATTAGTGTTGTGCAGCACCAGCGAAACAATCCAGCTGCCAAATACAAACATGGCAATGTGTTCATGAGCTTGTGCTACAGGTCCACCAATCACAAGTCTACTTATTATGTCAATGGACAAAGAAAACAAATTATTTCTAATCAAACCGATTCATAGAATAATTTGACCGTGTGGCATGACATCTAAACTTAAAACCAGTTTACGGATAAATTTATGTCCAGTTATATAAATAAAAACTCTTAAAAATGAAGGTTGCAAAATGTTTTTTTTTGCATTAAAAGAACCATTTTTGGTTCCTCAAAGAACCTATCAGTGAACAGTTCTTAAAAGAACCATTTTTTCTCAGTGTGAAGAACATTTAAAAAAATCTAAAGAACCTTTTTCCGCTATAAGGAATCTTTCGAGGAATGGAAAGATTCCATGAATGTTAAAGGTTCCTTATAGAACCATCGATGCCAATAAAGAACTTTATTTTCAAGAGTGTGGAGATAAATGTACAGAATTAGTTGCAAGCAATTATGTCGAATGCTGCGTTCTGCTAACTGCTAGTGGTTATGATCTTAACCTCTTTATATAAAATATATATAAATGGGTATCAAGACTCAAACAGACTAAAAAAAAAAAAAAAGATGAAATCCGCTTATTGGCCAACCAAGAAACACTTCTATTTCCAGAAGACTTGACAAGAGGGATGTTTCAATGCCACTGGAGAAAAATACATGTTCAGTCTACTTCAGATCACTGAACCGACTCCACAAGCATGGAGCTATTACTGTCTCTTTTTGAAGGCAAATGTGAGTCAATCAGTATTTCGCTGCCGGGGATGTTCCTGCGATTCCATGTCAAAAAAACGTTAACAATATATACGATTACGTTTCCTGATTAACTCAGATAATTAGGGAAAAACGCTTCAATCTGAGGCTGTATTTTGCTATGCCAAAATCAACATAAACCCCTAAGGTTGCCGCTTTGACATACAAAACTGTCAAGGAACAATGATACATATATTAATATTTTTAATATCACATTAATATATAAAATAAACTACAAGAATAAAACTTTTTGTATGTATATATAGCTATTTTAAACATCTGGAAAATTAAATAAATGCTCATTTCCAGTATCCAATTTATCTGAATGTATCTTTTTCTTTTATTTATTCGTTTTCTATAACTATTACAAGCTACAAATCACACTTTAAATTTCAAGGTCAGTTAAAAGAAATATGAATATTGTTCGCATATTTATGCTAATGCAATACTACTAATCGCTTGGAAGAATTTGTAAAACCCTTGTCCGTTTCATTTAACTGCCGTCATTTCAGATTTCTATTGTACTAAACCGCAACTCGCCATCTTCAGAATATGGTTTTGTCCATAATAAGATCTATAACATAATCCCCTATAAAATCCACTTTGTGGCGTTTTCTTGCATTCCTTTCTACATCTTCTGTGCCAAAGTTCTCAGAGTTTTGTAATCTCTTGTGGATTAAACCTAGACTCAACACAACCGCTCAGTGTTGCTCAGTGAAGATCATGGCATTGATGCACCATCTCGTGGAGCATCTCTTCAGATTATTGGCCTTAACGTAGAAAACAAACCCTCTCCTGCAAGACAGCATTGACTTTAAAGGGGCCAGTCATTCACATTGACGGGCAATAAGCAGGGAAGGCTGGCCAATATCACACTGCCATTCACAGGCCTTGCTGAGTGCTCTGCAATCATGCCATATCGCAGCCCTTCTAGCCTCAATGCAGTCTCACAGCTTCCCTGTCAGACCTCCATCCCTTCCCATCAGCATATTACTGGATCTAACCCAGAGCTTGATACTTCTGAGACTGAATTATGTAACTTGTGTTTGATTTCTTTCACTATTCAGTTGCATACAAGGAAATATTGGCCAATTTAACTCTACTAATAATCAAGTAATCAAGTACTATTTATACCTCTCATTACTACTATTGACACTATTCTTTTGTAGGCAGTAAAATATTTTTTTATTTTTTGCACACAGCAATAATGTGCTTCATGTGGTAACATCTAAACGTATGATTTAATATGACTGAATCAGAAACACCAATTAAAGTATTTTAAGTTGTAAAATATTTACTTAGAATAAGCTACAACTTTATTATTTTGGTCTCAGATCAATTATTTTTGTTTACTATTATAATATAAAACGTAGTTCTAATGGAGCTTTAGAGCAGACAAGTATAAAATTGTCTAACTTATGAATAAATTAACTACAAACGCTTCTAATAAATCGATTGATACGAGTATGACGTTTTATGATGTTAGCGATATTTTAAAGTATGAGGTCTTTTTTCACTGAATTTATCACTAGAAAATTAACTAAATTACACACGGCGTAGTATGATTATATGTAGGCTATTTGTTGTGGTAAACATTAGATCGCTACTTTTTAAGCAAAAATAAAATAAAATAAAATAAATAAAAATGAAAAAAAAAATCGTATTTTTAGCATTAAACCCTAACACGCGACACTCACGCGAGGCATTTTCAACCATAAATAATCACGCAGTATTTCGTTTATATGCGCACCTGATATTTCTGAGGACAGAAAGTGAAAAACTTACCCTACCTGAAATAATCCATTTTACAGAAGATTTCCTTATTTTTAATGTAGCAGCTGCCGTGTTGACGTAGTGACGTCCTGCAAACGGAACACTCCAGACACCTCACGTGCCAGATCAGATTATTAACCTGGAACAAACAGAACAGCCCAAATGAAAATATAATAATTGAAAATAATGAAATGAGCATATTTCTAATTTAAAAAGGCTACCTTTATGTACTTGTATTTTTTGCGTTTCATAAAATTAATCGTTCATGTGTTATAAAATGAAATGTCAATATGCATTAAAATTAAGTCGAACCGCACACACGTGTTTCTATATGTCTCAAAATGACTGCCATATAAATATGTGATAGGCTACTATAGGAAATGTTTTGTTTACAATTAAAGTTGTGATTTAAAATTAGATTCTGCCACATATTTTGTGAACATTTCATTTGAATTGCGCTGGTGTATAAATGCAGATGATTAAGTAGCCTATTTTGCTGTATGTTGCAAGCGGGAAAAATATTTATACAAATGTATAATTAATAATGTTAATCAAACTTGCAACATATTCCGTCTAGAAATTTGTGATTATTGAAATGTAAAATTAAATTATAGATAGGCCTATTTAGGATTTAAAATTATGATTTTAACCATGTTTTCTTTGGAACATTTACGACACACGGGAGGTGCATCTTAGAAATATTTATCTAAAGATTCCGTCGAATAAATAAGTATAATTATGTTCTCAGACTGTTAAACCCCAAGAGCTGAGAAAAAAGGAAAATGTACAAAAAAGGGGTCTAAGTTCGTTCATCCTGAATAAATTGTAATAAACTCACGCACTGTTTTATGAGTTTCCGCAAAAGAGCAAAACACGACGGTCAGAGGGAGCGTTGCTCACGCGCAACACACGCACTTCCTGAAAAACAAGCAGGCCGAGAGCACAAGCACGCGAGCAGCACAGCGATCCTGTCAGCAGCTCCACTAAAAACGGCTGCTTATTTTTAGAAAGCAAAATGCAGACAATTTATTCGTTGAAAAATCTAAATCTATAGGCCTATCTGGAGATGAAAAATAAATGTTCGCAAGATTTTTATCCATCATGTTCTGCTGAGATTTACGTTTTATACGATGTGTAAAAATAACAGCAAATTCGAAATTAACCTCTTTTCCCGTTCACATTATTATATTACGCTCCTCTGACCAAACCAAAACACATGCAGACATTACAGAAACCTGAACCCATCCATCTGTTATATCAAAGTTGGCATGCATTTTTTTTCCAGAAATATGACTGGATCTAATAGCCTAACGTTTCTGCTTCTGATCAGTTTGACCCCAGCAAAAAATAAAAATAAAATAAAAACATTATAGAAAGTACAATAAAACAAATAAATTGCGATTTTTAAATATATTTAGCCTACTCGTTCATACATTCTATATATGCGTGCAAAAACAATAAAAACGCTTTTAACTGTGCATTGAGAGCCTCGCGACAAAAGCCGCTGTTTTAATGAAGCTATTTCAATTTGGATTTTTCCCCCCCCACACTTAACCCGTGCCTTTTCCCATAATCGTATTTCCACGCAATCCAGGGAGCTGAAAAAAAAAAAAAACTACCTGCAATTACAAATAGCTTGAAATGCTCGCGATAAGAGGACCCTAGAGTGTCAATTTCAACTGCCAATCAGAGAAAGCAACGGGCCACCCAAAGAATTGCAAATTTGATTTTTAATGGCAGTAATTAAAATCTAATTTTTCCTCTGCAGACTTGGCATGTGAAGAGGATGGACCGCAAATCACACCATTCAGAACAGATCCTGATTCTCGTGACATCACTTCAAGGTGAAGATGTTAAAGGCTGCAGGAGATGAAACCGAGGACTTTCACATCGAGCAACACGTTGGCTACTTCTCCACTGAAACCAACCTTTTCTTTCCATGCAATTAAATGGAGAATAATAAATAATAAGCATAACTGCATTATCATCCACACTTGAATAGGATACGATCAAAGTCTTACCTGTTTTGAAGGAATTCCTTCGGATAGAAACTGATTTCCCTCTGATAGAGGGGCCAAAGCCTCATTTTTCCAATACATTTGACGGCTTAACCTTCTCTTTCGATATCTTCAAATTGCTTTAAGCTTTTTCTGTTAAAAATGTGTCATCCCATGCGGTCAAAATCGGTCTGATGTGAACCCAGTTCGCCTTTTCCTTCCGTACAGGCAATCAATAACGACAGTAACGATCGGTAAACTAACAAAACCGTCTAAAGCAAGTCTTGACATTCGTGATTGGTCAGTAAAGCGGCAGCAGACGCGCCGAGCGCGAGCGGTTCGTCGGGACGCCTTATTGAGAACCGTTTGCAGGATATTTCCTACTTTTTCCCTCTTTTGGGATGCAGTTGCTTGAGTACAGGAAGTGGAGAAAATTGAGGGGCTGGCAGGTTTTGCTCCTGCTCTCCTCATAGGCAGAGCACAGCCTACCTTCTGAAAGTTTACAGATCAGAGGGGAGGGAAGAGATGTGGCCTGAGTATGTATCGACATTTTGTAATGCTGAAACCTTGCATGATGTCTGGGGTTTAATTGTCTGACAAATTAGCGATTAAAAATGATACTGGACGGCTAAGTCTTTATCTGGGCTGTTATTGGTATCGAGTGTATTGAGATTTAATTACAAAAACAAAAAAAGTATTAATATATTATTAAATTTCACAGATTTCTAAGAATATTTCCTAGATTAATCAATTGGAATATAAAATAAGAAATATGCACGATTTTCCAGTTTATAGAGTATAAAATATAAAACAAAATGAATTATACTGAATTCGTTAAAAAAAACATTATTTGAACATCAGAATGTTATTCGTTAATTGTTTTAATAGTTGGATTGGTAATAATGTACTGCAAGTTTTTTTGACAGCAACAAAAAGACATTTCTTCCTGGTAATGCAATGAAATGTCCGAACGCACATCATTTTGATTATATTATTGATTTTATTTGTTAAGAAGTCCACTTAGCTATGTGTCGTATTCTGTCTATTATGTTGCAACAAAATCGTTCATGTAGCCTATATTTTATGCAGTTGACTGTATCGCAAACTATGCATTCACAATGTCATCTGTTTCTTGAATTGGTTTAAAATGGGCATGTGAGATAAAAAATTATATCCTTTACCAAGCCTGAACCCATCATGCTATTATTATGTCGGGGAGAAACAGCGGAAAAATACTTTCCATCAGATAATGTTCAGGTAGAGGGAGCGGCGCACACCTTCTCTCTTATGCAACAGTTGCATTACGAGGAAAATATCGTCTGGATATATTCACGTATATTGTTAGAATGAAGGCTTGCATGAGATTTAAGAGATTAGAAAGGAAAGAGCTCAGGTTCAATAGGAGCAGCAGTTATAAAACCCATTACTTGTTTTTCATTTGAATTTGAACTAAGCCTGTTGTTGTTCGGGGTTTGGAAATGAATACGAATAAAAGAGGAATAATAGTGACGCTACCTTGCAGAATTTAGTTACATCACCATATTCACCGACAGATTCTTTTACCTCTATACACACAAAGGTTCCAAAGTTGTTGTTGTTGAGAAAAAAAAATAAATTGGTTTTCCAAATAACTTTTTTCCTATAGTGTGAAGAACATTTTTCTACTATAAAGAACATTTCGTACAAGGGAAAGGTTCCATGGATGTTAGATTCTTCTTAGAACCATCTATGCAAATGAAGAACCTTTATTTTTTAAGTGTACATGGCGGAAACTTGCCTCGTTAGTCAATGTGACCACTTATTTTAATATCACAAACATCAGGAAAGGTAGTGTCGAAAAATAAATGAACCCAGTAACTCAAAAATAATAAATAAAATAGAATAAAATGAAATCGACAGGGGGTTAGATTCGCTATATTGTTATGAAAGTCCGCTAATGACGCATGCTAATCCGAATTTAAAAACGAAAGAGTTTTAATAAATAAGAAAACAGATTATTTTAGGGTTCAACTGATATTGAATTAAATTCTGCTTATGGGAAGAGACTATAACTACCTTATACTCATCACTAGGCCTGTTCGTAATTGAAAACGGTGGCAGTCTAATAAATAAACGTAGGCTACTGAGACAACGGTGCTATAAAAATGGTCACTACAGCACTAGCCTATTATCGATCATTACAGACAGTTCAAAGCGATGTCCAACAGACATGTCCATTTCAAATAAAAGCACGAGAATCCAGTTTGAACACCTCACAGGAGGACCGTTTCATTTAATTTTGGACACGACAGGAGCAAAATCTATCAAAATACCTGGATATTTACACTTGATCAAAACTGTTCATGACATCAACTGTGATGCCCCTCTCCAGATCATATGATAAAAGCCCTTTTCACTTTAGACTTAAAAAGGCAAGATATTAATAGTTAAATAAACAATGCAAAATATTGTGCTTCCTTTACACATACAACAGTGTAACAAAGAATGGGAAAGTCTGAGTAGTATGTAGATTTAGGATCATAAGACTCACAACACACAACAACACTTTTGGGCAGTTTACAAGAGAGTAAAAATCAATGTGAGATACTGTATATTCAGAAAGGATATCTAGAAAGGGATGTAAATTGAGATTTGGAAGAGGTGCAGAACTCTTAAAAGGATAGTTCAGCCAAAAATGAAATTTCTCAATTTTCTCATTTCATGATTTATGTACCTCCATGTTTTCCCGAACCCGTACTCTTGTTTCTTGTGCGGAGCACAAAAGGAGATATTTTAGGGTTCAAACAACATTGGACCTCAATGACTTGACAAAAAAAAAAAAAAGACATTTATCAAAATATCCTCTTACTGGTTTGGAATGACATGAGGGCGAGTAAATGATGAAAGAACTGTCATCCTTTGACTGAACTATCCCTTTAAAACCTGAAGAACTGAAATGACTTGGGTAACATCAATATTCGAAGAAGGAAAAACTAAATTCACTAGAATTTTGTGGTTAGATTTTGCTTACATCAGTTGTCTTTCACAGTAAAAAGACTCCTCCGCTGGCTGAGAAACAGAAAAGCACTACCAATCGAAGGTCTTGGACACTCTCTTCTCATAATACATTACAGTCTCACACTGGCCAAGAGACAAGAGCAGCTTATCTCCGCACATCTCACAGTCCGCTCAGTGCAGAGACACTTGGCCAGTTGTTGGAGAGGTCATCTCCTGAATTTGCGGAACGGCTTGTAGTAGGGCTGGGACCTCTTGTCTCTTTTATCGGGGGGTTTGTTGTAGATGTACACAGATGGGCCGGGATAGTCATCTGGGTTTTCTTCCATCATCTGCAGCTTGGCTTCGATGGCACGGATCTTTGCATTAACACTTTAAACAGTAGAGGAAAGGGAATCGAGAGAAAAGAAAAGAGCATTAACCTTCTTATCCAGTCCAAATGGGTCACTTTCGTCAATGTGAGCTCAGGGCCATTTGGAAAGGGAATGGTTGAGAACGAAAACAAAAACAGAAAGGAAAGTGAACAGGAGAACTTCGAAACATGGAAGAAAACGAAAGGCAACAGAGTTTTCGAGTGGTAATGTCCCAAACCTCAGTGTGGTTGGCAGCTGCTCTGCTTCACTGGATGAAGGCTCTAAACTGGCCGGCACATTTTTGTCCCCTCTGAAGGGTTCAAACTTCTGAAAGACAATAAACACACACAAGGATGGATACAAGACAGTTTCTGAGACAACATGCACTGAGGGGTTGTTTAACTTGCTGGGCCTCATTTGGTTGCATTAGAAACCAGAAAAAAAAAAAACGAGTTGGCTGCTTATTAGTCATATGCTCCCTTGGAATAGTGTGGGAAAAGTTGGACTATGCAACGTCATAAACATTAATTCCACTCAAAAACGTCCATCCAACAACCCTTGCGACCATAAGGATGATGATAGCTCATGGGAATCTGTGGGGAATAAAAACAAAGAGCGATTAGATGAGAGACTAGAAAATGCTTTACTACTGGTGAAGACACATACTTAGATACATAACTTATTTTTGTCTAAAACTCCTATCAAACAACTTGACATTGCCAGAAAATATTTCTCCAAGACTCCAACCCTTGGATTCTATAATGTATTCTATAATGTATCGAAAATACAGTTAAAGACAATATGAAGCTGCTTTCACAATGCACTTAACTTCCATAATGAGACACATTTATTGAGTTAAACTGAATATTAAGTGTTAAAGAGTGGGGGAATGGGGAATTTGATCTGCTGGGATCGATTTTGTTTGAATAATAAAGAGTTTGCCCATGTTGAGAAGTGCTTGCTGTTCCAAATTTCTAAACCAAAGTAAACTTTGGTATGTAACTGCTGTACATATGCAAATGATACTTTAAATTGTTCATTATGAGCGGTGCTATTGCTTTTCGAAACAATCAGACCTGGTGGACGATAAAACAGGCCCAAAAAAAAAAAAAAAAAAAACTTACATTGATTGAATGACACATCTAGGGACCAAAATATAATAGAGATATAGTGACCCCCCCGTTTGAAAGCAGGAAAAATTTTCACAACCATCTTATGATAAAAGAACACATTATAATTAATTAATTGAGCTCAAGCAAATACAAAAAACAGGAGGCCGCAGTATTTGCAGTTGAATGTTTTACTGAAAAAATAAACAGTACTTTTCTGTACATTATGTCAGCATTATATTTTCTCTTTTTTTAATAACAAAACTTTTTTATTGACAACAAAAAAAATGAAAACAGCATTTTGTTCAGTTTTAACTTTTTGTTAAATAATGAAATGAATGAACATGCATGATTGATTTTGCCAGCAGGGCAAAAATACACATACTATGAATAATTAAAATGTACAAAAAGTAATTACAAAGAAGTAATTTAATTCATCTGATATTCAGACATTGCCTGCACAGCTTTGGTTACATAAGCAGAAAATCTAGTGTAAAATAACGTAATTAAATTATGTACTAATGAATTGTGCACAGTGACACCAAGGACATTTATTAAAGTAAATAGGGTCAACTTTGATTTCTTCTTTTGTAAAATCACATCTTTTTAAATACAGAAAACCATAAAGCAACGTTCTAACAGCCTGTTTCTGATCCTTTACATTACGTTACAATAATTTAACTTTAGTTTATTTTCCTTTAGATTGCTACACTCCACCCAAACAACTATGTATAAAGAGGAAGCCGTTTTTTAAATACACCACATTGATCAGACAGCTCCACTGAACCAGAGGCCTTTAAAGGGCACGGCTGATATAAACACAGCACTGAAGAGTACGCTGATACCCACACACACGGTGAGATGGCCAGACGAATCAAACACTTTCACCAGCCTCACAATGAGCACAGTGTTGGGTGGAGGTGGTCAAGAGGACCTGGAACCAGGCCTGTCTGCTGCTACTTGATGTCAACAACACTGCACTGTTGACCTTGACCCCAGCCTGGTGTCCCATTCCCCTCAGACGGGGAGGGGCAGAGGGGGTGCGCGGGAGGGGCGCGATTCTCAACCATACAGGATTTCCTCACTCTAACCTATTGTTAAGGAGCCGGGCAGCCTCAGGAGCCCCTCACTATAACTCAACTATATGTGTGATCCATGATCTTTATGGTCTGTTTTGTTGTAGCGGCACCCAGATATTCCATGGAACAACAATAGAAGCATTTCTTAATGTCCATGATGGACTGAAGTTACAGCGATGACGTTAAGGTGTTTTCAGGTTGCTGCTTTATGGTTGCTAAGGTGCTCTGAGTGTTGCTAGGATGTTTTGAGTGGTTACTGGGTGGGCTTGATGGCCCAAGTCAAAATAGCCCACCCTCAAGTCTACATGGGACCATTCATACTTTTCTAGACATGCTTTTGAAATGGCAAGTTATGTGCTAACCTGTTTAAACCCACCATGTGTGAGACTTTAGCAATGGATGTTTTTCCATTGAGTATGTCATGTTTTTCATGAATGCGGAGTCAAAATGTAAACATTTGTTGCAGACAACTGCATTTAAAAAAATCAGTAAACATTGGCCTGTGCATTGTTTGCTCTTTGTCTTTGCAGGTACCACAGTTAAGCAACAAATACAGACCTATGAAAACAACAATGACTGGTGGAAAAGTAATTAGCATTGCGTGGTATTAATTTTGACCAAAAAAAATGAGATTCATATATTTATAAACTACCGTTCAAAAATGTGGGGTCAGTAAGGGTTTAAACACTTTCGTTTAGAAATGTTACATTAGATTGATCAAAAATTACATTTGTAATGTTACAAAAGATTTCTATTTCAAATAAATTCAGTTCTTTTAAACTTTCTATGCACCAAAAAATTATTTTAAAATGATTACCACAAAAATATTAAGCAGCAAAAACGGTTTTCAACATTGATGATAATTAGAAATGTTTCTTGAGCAGTAAATCAGCATATTAGAATGATTTCTGAAGGATCATGTGACACTGAAGACTGGAGTAATGATGCTGAAAATTCAGCCTTAAATCATGGAAATCAAAATCAACTATCAAAATCAAATATATTACAATAGAAAACAGTTATTCTAAATCATAATATTATTTCACAATATTAACTTTTACTGTATTTATTTATTTTTTTACAATGCAATCTTGGTAAGCATATGAGACTTCTTTTTTTTTTTAAATCATACTGCTCCTAAACTTTTGAACGGAAGTGTATATTTTTCATTTAACAATTTCTTTATTGTGGGAAAAAATACTAGTAGGATTAAAGAACAGGATCAAGAAGTTATGTTTTCTTTTTATATATCAAGCTCAATTTTTTTTTTTCAAAATTAACTGTCAAATTATTTCAAATTAAGCAAATATTATATAAAATAAATGTTAATTTTATTTGAGCAATGTTATGTGTTATTTACTATTTTTTTTAAGTTAAATCGGGTGATATATTTATAAGCTTTATATCAGCCAACATGCTCTCAAAGTTATCAGTATATAAGCCATTAAAATACCACACAACGAAAAATGAAAACCCACATGTAATTCAGTCTGAACAAGGCCCATGATATTCTGGTCTCTAGATTTGGCCTTCCTTCAATATAATTTGGATTTTGGATTCTGTCCTGTTTTATCATCTTTCAGGCAAAAGTCTGATCGCTTAAAAAAAATTATTCATTTGTGCACTCTTCCAAAAACAAAAACGAGTTACAGTTTTGACTAGAGATTTTAACAAACCACTAACCTATAGCATGAGTAATAGTAATAGTAATGACTGCCTTAGCAAAGACCACAACTTACGCGACACCCACCTTTACCTGAGCATGAGCCCAACGCACCACTAACTTCTTAGAAAGTGCCAGTTTTCCATTCAGACACTGAATAGCCCGTTCAGCCTCCTGTGATGGACAGAAAACACTGATTATCACAAAGTTTATGCTTTTATGATGATCATAATCATGCATGCATCTATAAACATGTCACTATACTCCGCTGACACTATCAGGATTACAAGAGTGAATTATTTCATGGCTATTTTTGAAATCCTCCATTAGTCTTGTTCAAAGATCGTCTCTGTAGTGTCTGGATCCTGAACCTTCCTGTGTGTGTGTGCTTGTTTGCTACTTTCTAGTTTCTGGCTGTTGCTGGAAGCATGGCGTAATGATAGGGAACAATAATGGCTGATGATGGATCACTAGTTTTCCAAGCTCTCATGAAGGGCGTGAATGAGATCTGTAAACACACATTTCCCCTTCAACAACACCCTTGGGACTGCCTCATATTACACTCAAGAGAGCCAACAGTTCCTTATCTGCATCAGCTGTCTGGGTGCCTCTTAAAGACTTGCATATCATTACTGAATCAAAACTGAGACTTCCTTTGGTCGTTTGGGTTGTGAATTCTCAGATGTTGTAAAGAAGAACGAACAGAACCTCTTTGGTGTGGAAGTTGACAAAGCAGTATCCTCTTGGTTGGCCCTCCAGAGGACCTGACTTGTGGAACAGGAAGTCAAACTGCTTCACTTTGCCAAACTTCTCCAGGAGCTTCACTAGGTGGTACCTGCAGGAACACAGAGTGGTTTTATTTTGAAGTCTATTTGCCTTTTTGCAACATACTCCCAAGAAATAGGGGTACAGCACTCATAATGACATAACTAAGGACACTGTAATTATGAGCGATTGTAATCATGATCCTCCCTTTAACAAATGGCACTAATAATTGTACTGATCAAGAATAAAAAAATGAGTGATTAAAGCCACAAGCCACAATAATGCATGTCATGGTATCATAATTCTTTGTTAACAAGGCTTGATCAGAATGACAGGTCTCTTTACACCTTTTTAGCTGCTGTAAATCTTTTATTCACACAATACAAAGGATACAGCAGGGGGACAATGAGGATATAAAAAAGCGGAAGACTGAATTCCCTCAAGAGTTTAATTTAAGACAAACAATTATGACGAGTACAGCTTCTATAACCTGCTGTCATGGAAGACGCAAGTCCCTTATTATTGCCAAAAACAGTACTGATTATTCTGTTAATTAGTGAAAAACTTTGTCCATACAATGAAGGTCGATGGGGTCCAATGTCATTTTGGACTCTACCGACTTCCACTCTATAGACCAAAACAGCTGAAACATTCTTCAAAATATCTTCTTTTGTGTTCTTCAGAAGAAAGAAAGTGATTGGAATATAAAGCAAGTAATTTAAAAATGTTGCAGGCCAGATTCAAATTCACAATGCCCACATGATCACCATGGTCCAATGTGTTGGAGCATGTCAACATGCAATGGCATTTGCAACTCATTCGACTGAAAGTGGGATGTGAATCCATCAGGAATTGAATTTATCATGAAAAGTGGGTGTTGCATACACAAGACCAGCCGGCTTGATGTGGTCTCTATATGAATGAACGTTGGGGAAAAAATAGAGGGTTTGATGACATCAGCCAAAAATGAAAGTCTAGTGAAAGAAAAGCAACTGATCAATTCTTCAATACAGCTACGGTATAGGCAGAGAGCTCCCGTAAAACAAGAATCACACTGAACCTGTGCTATTCAAACAAAGAGAGCTTCGTACAAATAGGCTTCGTCAAACAACCATATCCAGAGCATTGGAGAGCAGTCTAGCATGCAGTACGTGCATAAAAGAGAATGTTTGCAAGTATCCTTGCTTCTGCATGTTAATATGTACGTCATCCGAACTGTTAACATTTAATGTGACTTAACGCTGCATGAACACAACTGTAGTTGCACTTAAAGTTTTTTCAGTATGTTGGCAAAACAACATCTGACGAAAGCAACGTCAAGGTTCAATGACATGACACTCATTTTTTGTCCAGATCTATTAATTTATCAAAAACACAGTAAAAGTGCAATTTCTACAAACAATTACTTGAAAAACATAAAAGATATAATAATTTTTAAAAACTTAGGGCATAAATAAGGTACAACAGCTCTGCTATTATAATGAAGAAGAAAAGCCTCATTACAAGGATGAAACTCTGGAAAAGAAAACATTTTAAAAAACTTCATGTCATGCGGTGCAACCAGTGTGCAGAAAAAAGAAGGGGAAAAACAGGACATGGTATCAACCTCATGACAGTGTGTCAAGGTCAGTAAGTCTTTATCTTGGATGCTCCATACTTGTCATTTAAACTCATCAAGTAAATATGAAACAACTTGTCGCTAGTGTTGGCATCGTCTCCAGTGATTCACCTTGACGTAGGATGATGAATGTGGCATCACATGGACATCCCTGAAACCAAATTCTAAAGACTGAGTAATGCAGCTCAGGAAGGCATTCAAGCATTTCCTTCAGCTGGGAAAAGGCTGGGAAAGCTACAGAACTGAGCATCAGGAATGTGCTCTAGACATGCTCGAGATAAACAACAATACATTTGTGGAACTTCTTGCCATATTGTTGTTCTTCCAACATGACAGCCGGAGCGGTCTGGGAGTTGCCTCCTGCAAGAGACAAGGAGATGCCGGGGATTTCTTTATTGTTTTGGATGGTTGAGGTTATTTTTAATCCTGGAAAGGTAGGAACACAGATAGAACTGGTGGTCCTGGCTTTGGTATTAATGGTTTCCCCTCCTCTCCCAGGAGCTTTTCTCTAAAAGTACGTCGCACTTTCCCAGCCACCACCCTCTCAGGCTCGGGCCACGGGATCTTCCTGACTTGCTGCAGATTGAAGAATTGACAGTGTTTCCGATTCAAAGGGACAACCTGTAGATTTTTCTCAGACCACAATGCAGGCCCCCAGAGGGCCATAAAATGTGCAGTTGGGAGGAAGAAGAGGTCCGTCCAAGGAACTTGGAGTATTTTGTGAAAGTGTTGATGTGAGCCAAGCATGTCATCTGTTTGGGCCAAAGAAGTCGGAGTGCTGCCCACCCACCTGCAGCGTCTCCCGTTTCAGTATCGCTGTGCAGCATGCAGTCGAAGACCTTGAGATCAACATTTAGCAGCACAGAATCAAGAAAACAGCACGGATATCAAGGTCAAGGCACGATTCTATCAGACACGTGTCTATTTCAGATGACTGGAGGGTGTGGTCTAAGGCCAGTGCTGTTTTCCTCCTCGGCCATCCCATCGGATAGGCCTCCTGTTCCCTTCTGCCCGTGTATAACGGACAATGCAAAGCAGGCCTCCAAAAGCACAAACAACCTGCGGCACATGGTAGATCCATTACTGGCCCTAAATGGGCCCCAGCGGAGCATGGACCGGTCAATATGTCAGCCTGTTATTACGACAGCACCTCCTGCATTGTGTGAACGGCCGCGTCCACCACAGGTCTCAACTGTGGGAAACCAAACCTGAAAGAAAGTTTGTATGTTTGTGTCAGAGAGACTGTGCATGTGTAATGGGGTGGAGCTCTGTAAATGTTGACGGATGTTTTCATTAGACGGAAAATGTCAAGAAATGTTGTCATCACTGTCCTCAACATGGGTTGGTCGAACTTCAGCACCTGACATCTGAATGTGACTCAAGCTGCAGGATTAGTGAAGGTGGATCTGACAGATGCCAGAGTGCTTGAGAACTTGTGAAACACCTGTGAGGTGGTATACAACACAGTCCTTTTTAGGCTGTGTCCCATTACACATCCTAGTTCCATATGATGTGAATCTGTACATTGGAAATTGGTGATATCTAGACAGTGATGACCAAGTCTGTGGTGGTGAAACAACTTTTCAGTTTTAAATAGATTTTGACAATGGGACAAGTCTAGAAATGGCTGACTACTTGGGAAGTGTACTTACCTCATTAGCGGATTGAGACACACCCTGGATAGAGCATCGACACTGGGCTGATTCGACAGGTGGAAAGTATGAGACTCATGCAATTTCAGCAATGTCATGGTGCCCAAGCACTGACTATACCACAGATCAGCATCATACATTTATACCACATTTCAATGGAAAAGAAATGAGAGGAATTAAGCAACTGTGTTCAGAAACTGTAATTTTTCCATCTAGCTTCAGCTTCTGATTAATGTAACGATGATGGTGAAACTTACAGTCAGTAAGGTAGATGGATTAGCACTCAGGAGAGACTGTTTACAGTGAAAGATCAGAATGATTTTCTTTTTGTCTGACTGAAATTTGTTGGTGACAATTTGCAGAACTGTAAAATGACTTTTCCAAACCTGTGATGTATTTAGATTAATCATATTAAATAAATGAGGCTGTTTGTGAAGTGATTGAGTGACTGACAAGAAAAAGTGTTTTTTCTATAAAGTACCGTTACATCAGAATCTAAGCATGAAGGCTCACAGCTGATTTTTCCTAGATTTTAATTTCCAAAATGTAACTTGACCTTGCTAATTTATTGCAAACTGACAGATGAAAATTGCTTGTTAATGCACAAAGGCCAGGGAAATAACATTAGAATAACATAAGAGAGACAAATGAAGTGTTCATACTGAGTTTTTGTTTTCAATCCCAAAATCTACTGGGTAAACTCACGAAAACCGTCAAGAAATGTCATATTTCACACAAATACTTTGCATTAAAAAATGAAGGTTGCATTTAGGACCACTAAATTATTTTTGGAAAATGTACGGCTTGTGACATTATTTTTATTATAATTATGCACCCCTCCTGCGCAATATTAGGTTACTATAAATCCAAAAAACATTTTTTACTACTGTAATACAAAAAAAAAAAGATTTATGATTTAAATAATAAAACACACCATAAATATAAAAAATAAGTATAATTCATAGTAGTATTTGTTGCATTAAATTGTAATTAAAATAATATCCCAGTGCAAAATAATAAATAAATATAAATGGCTTTTTTTTCTTTTGTTTTTGGGTAAAATATAATAGACATTTTAGCGCAAGATTCACCTTATTATGAGATCTGCCATATTAAGCTATGTGGGCAACCTGAGTTTGATCCCATTCTGCTGCTTTCTGCCTTATTCTCCTGCCCTCTCCCTACTATGCTTATCAATAAAAATTTCAGGAACAAGATCAGGAACAAACACTGCATGTGAATGGGTTGGCTAAGGTCCAGTTTACACCTGGTACTACAGCTTGTAGCATGGCATTATAGGCACCAGCACTGACCACTAGTTGTCAACAAATATACTGCAAAAGCCAATATATCGACTGACATTTGGCATATATTTTAAAATTATCGGCAACAGTAATTTTGATCCGTTTGGCCGATAAGTGTCAGAAGTAGCTTTTTGCCAGCGACAGGACTTTTAATTTTGACAGCGCTAAGAACAGCAGCACCTGTACACAGATGTGAGTGTAATCTTTAAACTCTTGACTTCAAACTATGCTGAGTTACATCCAGTTTGCTGATATGTCATATGTCAAAGTGTACTGTATATAAAATTAGCTTTACCTGGTTTTTATTTGAGAAAATAGGATTTCCAGTGCACATAAACTTAACAGAGGTTGGTTAGTGTTTACTTCCTTTTTATTCATGTTTAACTATTTTTTTTTATTTG